GAAGTTCACAGCAATATAGAGGCCTATCTTAACAAGAAAAATCTCAAAGCAAGCTTACACCTAATGGATCTAGAAAAAGAACAAACAAAAGCCACATTAGTAGATGGACATAAATAAAGATCAGAGTGGAAATAAATGAAATAAAGTAAAAATATCAATGAAATGAAGAGCTGGTTCTATAAAATGATGAACAAAATGATGAAGGTAAACTGTTAGCTGGACTCATCAAAAAAAGAGAGGGCCCAAGTAAATAAAATCAGAAATGAAAGAAATTACAACAGATGCCACAGAAATAAAAGAGACTGTTAAGAGAATATTGTAAGTGATTATATGCTAACAAAGTGGACAATGTAGAAGAAATGGATAAACTCCTAGAAACATACAATCTACCAACACGAATCATGTAGAGATAGAAAATATGAATCAATAATCAAAAACTTCCCAACAAAAGTCCACAACTAGACAGCCTCACAGGAAAATTCTACCAAGCATTTAAAGAATTAATACCTACCATTCTTAAGCTATTCCAAACATTGAAGAGAAAGAAGACTTCCAAACTCATTCAATGAAGCCAATTTTACTCTTAAACCAAAATCAGATAGAACAGTACAAAATAAGAAAATTACAGGCCAATATCCCTGATGAGCATAGATGCAAAAATTCCTTACAAAATATTAGCAAATTGAATTCAACAACATGTGAAAGGAATCATACACCATGATCAAGTGGGTTTATTCCAGGGGTACAAGAATGGGTCCATATTCACAAATCAATGTAATACACCACATCAACCAAATGAAGAATAAAAATTATATGATCATCTGAATAGATGCCAAAAAAGCATTTCACAAAATTCAACAATCACTTATGATAAAAACTGTAACAAGGTGAGTATAGAGGGAACACATATCAACACAATAAAGGTCATATTAGACAAGTTCACAGCTAACATTATACTCACAAGTGAAAAGCTAAAAGTTTCCTCTCTAAGATCAGAGAAAATAAAAGGAAAACTACCTCTAGATAAATAAAAATGGAAGACAAGACAAAGATGCTCACCTTTGCCACCTTTATTCAACATAGTACTGGAAGTCCTAGCCCTAGCAATCAGAGAAGAAAAAGAGATAAAAGACATCCACATTGGAAAGAGGAAATAAAACTTATTATTTGTAGATAACATGACACTATATATTGAAAACCAGAAAGACTCTATGAGAAACTGTTAGAATAAATGAAATTAATTCAGTGAAGTTACAGGATACAAAATTTATATACAGAAATCTGTTGTATTTCTATACATTAAAAATGAATTATAAGAGAAACTGTAAAACAATTCCATCTTCAAGTGCATGAAAAAAGTACCTAGGCATAAATTTAACCAAGGAATGGAAATACCTGTACTGTGAAAACCAGTGATCACCAACATTTTTGGCCTCACAGACCAGTTTTGTGGAGTGGGGAGAGGCGGAGCTCAGGTGAGCTTCACTCGCCTGGTGTGGATTCAGGGAGACAGGTGGTGGACCTCAGGCAAGCTTTGCTTGTGGCCCAGTTCCTAACAGGCCTCAGACTGTTAATGGTCTGCAGCTCAGGGGTTGGGGGCACCTGGTGAAAACTTTAAGACATCGATGAAAGAAATTGAAGATGATGTATATAAATGGAAGAAAATATTGTGCTTATGGATTGGAAAAATTAATATCATTAAAATGTCCATAATACCCAAAGCCACCTACAGATTCAATGCACTCCCTATCAAAATACCAATGGCATTTTTCATAGCACTAGAATAAATAATCCCAAAATTTATATGGAACCACAGAAGACCCCAAAGAGTTAAAACAATTTTTACTTAAAAGAACAAAGACTTAAAAGAACCAAGTTGAAGGCATTATACTACCTGATGTCAAACTATACTAGAAAGCTATAATAATCCAAACAGCATTATACTGGTACAAAAACAGATGCATAGATCAATGGAACAGAATAGAGCCCGGAAATAAACCCATGCTTACTGATATGGTCAATTAATCTACAACAGAGGAAACATGAACATACGATGAAGATAAGATGTCTTTTCAATAAATGCTGCTGGGAAAATTGGACAGCTGCATGCAAAAAATGCAGTTGGACCACTTTCTTACACCATATACAAAAATAAACTCACTTTTTTACACCATATACAAAAATAAAGTTGAGTGTTATACCAGAAACCATAATACTCCTAGAAGAAAACATACTAAAAAGCTTCAGCACAGTGAAGGAAACCAACAACAAAACAAAACAACAACCCACTGACTGTGAGAAGATATTTACAAATGATATGTCTGATAAGGAGTTGATATCCAAAATATTTAAAGAACTTATATAACTCAACATCAAAAAATAAACCCATCTGATTAAAAAATGGGCAGATAACCTGAATAGACCTTTCTCCATATAAGATATACAAATGGCCAACAGATACATGAAAAGATAGTCAACATTGCTCATCATCAGGGAAATGCAAATCAAAACCAAATGAGATATCACCTTATACCTGTCAGATTGTCTGTTATCAAAAAGGCAACTAATAACAAATGGTGAGAACTGGGATAAAAGGGGACTGTTGTGCATTACTGGTGCGATTGCTAACTGGTACAGTCACTATGCAAAACAGCCTGAAGTTTCCTCAAAAGAATATACCATAAATAAAACTACCATAAAATCCAGTAATTTACTGCTGGTTATCTATCCAAAGAAAAGAAAAACTCTAATTTGAGATATTCACACCTCTATGTTCATTGCAACATTATTCACAATAGTTAAGATATGAAGAGAACCTAAATGTCCATCAATAGATGAGTGGATAAAGAAATGTGGTATATGTGCACACACATACACACACACACAGGAATATTACCTGGCCATAGAAAAGAAAAACAAAATCTTGCTATTTTCATCAACACAGTGGACCTAGAGGATGTTATGTTAAGTGAAAGAAGTCAAACAAAGGACAAATACTGTATGATTTCACTTATATGTAAAATCTAAAAAACCAAAACAAAGGAATAAATAAAACAAAACAGAAACTAACTCATAGATACAAAGAACAAAATGATAGATTCCAGAGGAGATGGGTAGAAAAAAATGAAAAGCAGTAAGAAGTATAAACTCCTAGTAATAAAGAAGTATAAACTCCTAGTTATAAAGTAAATAAGTCACATGATGTAATATATAGCACATGGAACATGGTGAATAGTAGTGTAATAACTTTGGGAACAGATTCTAGATTCACAATATGACCATTTCATAAGGTGTAGAAATGTTGGATCACTATGCTATACACTTGAAACTCATGTAATATTCCATATCAATTATATTTTAATAAAAAATTTAAAAATAAGTAAAGTCAACACATTAAAAAATATCTGGCATATAGGATGTGTTCATTAAGTGCTAAATGGATGAATGAATGGCTTTAGGATAATAAAATTCATGTACTCAGTGTTAGTAATCCATGTCTCATTTAAAAAACTAAACGCATAAAATTGTACTAAAATGTTATATATAATTTATGTAAAATATGTATAAATATAAGTATAGATATACACACACAAGCAACTCTTACTTTTCTCCTAAGGAAGCTTGGGATCAAGCATTAGTTTCTCAGTTTCATCTTGGATTTTAGCAAATTTGGTTGTGCACATTTAAAATGGACTTTTTTTTTTTAAGTAGCCTTTGTCATTATGTAGAATAATGATTGCCTGCTCTTTTTCCCTTGGTTTTATTCACAAGAGATTTATTTTAAGTAGTTCTCTGCAAAGCAAAGTAAATTTAGTTGCAGAGATATGAAACAAGGCCACTTTTACTGTAGAAACAGAAGCTGCTTTCATTGTGCGGGAGACTATTACATTTTGACTTAAAAGAAATCATACATATGCTTAATCGTTTTCACTCGAGGTATGTTGTATTAGGAAAACAAAAACATTCTATGGTGAAAAGGAATCCTGGCAGACTTTGACAACAAAAGACAGGTCACAGAAAGACACCCGGAGTTAGAAGGTTCCCCACGTTTTCTCTGCATAATCTTTTAGGGAACAAAGCAGTGCTCACAGAGCAGCCTGTAAGAGATCTTTATAGAATAATGTTGTTCTTTTAAATAAACAAAGGTATGTCTAACACTTCTCTCTGAGGGTTTTGTTTTAATGATAAAAATTACCGAGTTAGATGGAATTGCTGGCGAAAGCCCTGGAAGCTCTATTGGCAAACAGAACTAAGACAACCGAGCTAACGGTCCATGCCGAAACAGGCCGCTGGCAGCGTGCTAACTGGAGAGGTCAGTTCTGCCTAGATTGTGAAGACCCTGAGGGCCAGGCTATGGGATGTGGTCCCCTACCCCTTAAAATACACCAGTGAGAAAGCTTTTGCTAAGGGACATGACAGAATTACACTTGAAGGGCTGTAGAAGAACAAAAAGTATAATGGACCACTGCAAGTCAAGCTCCCTTGCCCAGATCTCGAGAAACGCAAGGTGGTGACTTCGTGGTAAAAAGAAGGCCTGTATTCTATGTCCATAAATAGTTCTGCAAACCAGCTCAGCCACTTAGTAGAGCTTCCCGAAGCGATGTTTGAAAGGTTCTTAGGTTCCATCCAGGCTCAGGTAACAAGGCTTTAATCACCTGGCAACATCTGCCATGGGTGCAGAAAGGGGCATGCTGGCCTGAGCACACACATGTGTTAGCCGTGTTCTGAACGATGGCTCAGCATTCTACCTTCTTTTCTGCTCACAAACAACAAACAGTCCATGTTCTATGAAGATCAACCATCTTGGGCTTGTGTGTGCCCGTCTTCAAAAACAGCCACTTCATATTTAATCTACACTGACCCCTTTCCATGCTAACGGTTCTGAGCACATTCATAAGTAGTTTCAGAGGAAGAGAACTCATGAAAATGCACCAGTTATGAGCATTTTGAGGACTAAGGAAAACTAAATGGCAGGAGAAGTGCCATCTGGGAACACTCACCTTTTTTGCTCCTTGTTCCTCTTCTACACCATCACCTATAACAACGTACACCACTTTTCTTCCAAACCTTTGAATTATCCTCTCAAAACAGCTTTCCTTTCCTAATGAACAAAAATCATAAAACATGTAAAGTTTGGGTAACTCAGTGCTACAGCTCTTGAACTTTTTGTTTAAAATGCTTTCTTTATGCTTCTGGTTCAACTCTCACCTACTTGTGCAAATGAGAAGAGAACTTTGACATGCCATTTGGGTAGCACGTGGAAGAGCACAATAAATTAAAAATAGTAAATGAATTACCTATGTGGTGTCCCATCCCTTGAAATTGACCGTTTTAGTACTCTTTTCCCAAGGATTCGTCTATTACAAAGCAGGTTTAGTCAATCACAGTACAGCATCTGAGGGAAAAAGTACTCTTTTGCAGTACTACTTTATTTTTCCTACAAGCTAAGACTAAACAAAGGCATGTAATTCTGGCAACAAAGTTTCACTTGATTTTAAAAATGTTTCATGATACAACAAACTGAAAAATCACGTCTGATCCAAAGGCTATTACTGAGAAGGATGAAAACAATGGCGAAATCAGACACGGGAGTGAGTTCATCCCCCCATGTTCAGGTTGGGGTTTCATTTAAAGACCCCCAAAGCCTAATGTGTTTGCCTGAGATATTCTCATAAACCTGTTTCTGAAATAAATGTCAGATAATGGGGCACTTCGGGGAGCTCATGCTTGCCTTACCAGACATCTAATGGTCAATAAAGCCCTTTCCCAGAGAAGAAACAGGTAAAGGTAACAGAATACCTTTATCTATCTATTATCTTTCCCATGTCAGGACTCGATTTGGGCCTCTGTGGCGACTACGCTGGCAGCGCCCCCTGCTCTTAATGCAGCCATTGTTGCTGCTTAGAGAAGAGGTCGGTGCCCCAAGTCCGGGGCTGCCAATGGGGTCATTTTAATGGACAATGGGACAGTTTATAGTTTTCAAATGGGAATGGCTGAGCGGGGCCTGCATCTCTTTCAAATAAGGATCAGATATACACACGAACAAATTGCTTGTTTGCTTAAACAAATGTCTGCTTTATATTTGTATTTTGCACTAAAATCTCTAGTTTGCATCTGACAGAATGAAACAGGGCCAGCCTTATTCAAAGGATGTCATTTCAATGCTGCTTCAGTTGCCCACTAAACTGTGAAATGTTAAATCACTTGAAGAAACTAATACAAAGTACAGTTTTCATTGCAAAAATATACAACCCTAAGTTTGAATGCCATGGTGCTATCTTTTCCTCAGAAGGAAATGGTAACAGGTTTTTGTTTTGTTTTTTTTCTTGTGGGGGGGAGTGTCTTATTCATGGAAAACAGAGAGGTAAACTCAATGGCTTTTTAAAGGTGATGCTGTGGTGAACAAAACAGTCCTCACCTACATGCTATCTCCTATAGGCTTTGTTGTGAATTTTGGGTCGTGTAGACATTTTGTACAATAAAGATGAAAAAATTGACTCTTGGAAGTTAATTTGAGCTAAACCCTTCTTAGCTGAAGTTCTCATTTGGATCAATGCATTCTGTCTGGAAGAACATCACAGCTCTGCTCCCTGAGATATCTCCTCCTATGCCTCTGCCATTGGTCGACAAGGAAAATGTCTAGGTTTTCTGCATCAACCCTCAGTCATATCTCATTTTATGGCAAAATTAGCCCTAACTAGAGGGATTCCAATCTCTACTTTTCTTGTTAGAAATATCATAAAAGAGTGACACCTAACACTTGGGTTTTGAGAGGATTTCTACCACCACATATTCTTTAATTCTAATTTTTGTTCTGTGCTGAAAAAAAATAAAAGTCCAATATTGCAAACAAAATGCCTATTAAAAATACTTCCTTCATTGTTATTATAACTTCCTATCAATCATCCTAACATTTTCAGATTATTTGGGATTAAAGTTCACCATGCATGTCGTGTTGTCTACTACTTGTTCCTTCCTTCTGGGGAGTAAGGCAATGTCCCTTCTATCCCATGTGCTTCTTAGGAATTTGTTTTGCCTTTTATGTGCTGACCAACCTTTACCTTTGACTCCTGTTTACAAAACACAGTATGGCTACTGTTTATTGATATAAGGAGGATAAACACCTGACAGTGTAAACTGATGGCTATTCTTGTGGAACATGAGAACATACAAAAATTTAGTTTTATTGGGTCACTAGGAATTCTATTTGGCATATCCCTTTCTTTTTTATAAGAATTTTCCAGCATTCTGTTCTTGGCCCTTTTCAAAAAGCATTGATTGTTCTCCAACTCCAACTATTTCCAAGTTCACAGAGCTATCTCTGAATATCCCAGAGGCTCTTCAAACTCAGCATGGATAAGATCAAACTCTTCTGTTTCTAATCAAACCTGATTTCCCCATCAGTTAATAGTGTCCCTGCTGATTCAGTTGCCTAAAAGAAACCTCTATGTCAGCCTTCTTCAAAATAAACAACCATTTATTCATACATTTTATTCAACAAACACTTACTCAGCACCTACTACGTGTTGGGCACTATAGCTACACTGATGAGTGAGGCAGACTATGAACAAATAACTATACAAGCAATTTTTTAGCCATCAATAAGTTCTTTGAAGAGAGGTGGAAAAGTGTAGTTAGAAGGAGAGTTAGATGTATGGGGATTCCATTTTTGTCCCTTTTTCTTTAGAGGTGAGCAGCTATAAACAATCTTTTCCCCACCTACCAGGGTATTTCTCCCCCTTCCCCAGGACTCACCGAAATAACATTCATCTCATCAGGGTGATGTACAAGGAAAGCCACCTATCACTATACCCAAGGCTACCTTCCCAGCCTCAGCTTTTCCTGAATGCTGCACACTGGTCACCCAGGGCCACTCATGAGTCCCTTAGAGGGGAACATGTTTTATTAACTTCTCTTGTCTCTTTGTTCTCATAAGCCTGTCTGCCTAGTAAACTCATATTTACCCTTCCATACCCAGCTCAGATGTCATTTCTTCCCTTTAGTTTTCCCTGACGTTTTCCCTCTGCCTCCTTCTGGGTGACAGTGAGTGCTTCCTCCACGATGTGCACCTCAGAGTTCAGGCACTGGTGGCACAGACCCCCTAGGGTGTGCAAATGTGTCTGGACCCGGGACTCAGAGATCTAGTTTGTCTCCTCTCTTTACTAGCTATTAACTTGAACAATTTACTGAAGTGTCTAAGCTTCAGTTCCCTCATTTATAAAATGGAAAGGTTTTGGAGATTGATTTTAACATGGAAAATGCTTAGTACAGGTCTAAGCTTCTAATAAATACTTGGTAAATGCTCATCTACATATTTTTATCATTGTATTATGGTTATATAACTCTCTGTCTTCCCTGTTGGATATGGAATTCTCTAAGAACAAGAGCCATATCTTTTTTTTAATCCCACTTTTATTCTGTCTTGATTTGTAATCCAATTAAATTTCAATTAGTCTTTTTTTCCAACTATGTTTCTTTTTTGCAAAAACTTAATTTTATTGTATCCTCATAACAAAAAGGGGAATTCAGTGCTTTACACATGTTGAATTAAAATAAAACAAGGCGGGTATAAGGGGACTGAATGGTAATGGAAAAAATATAGTAAAGATCAAGTTAAAAAATAAAGCAAAATATAGTTCCAGCAATAATAAAGAAAGGTGTTGTTAGAGTTGTTTCATTTCTACTTTGTATATCTCTATACTACTATTTGTTTTAGCTTATGAGATATTTTTGCTGATGCCTAAAAAAAAATAAGATAATCCAGAAATGATGCTCAACTGGCTATAGCCAAAAGGTATATAGGTCTTAATGTTAGCCAGTAAAGTGAAGTTTTCTGAATAAAACCACATGGATTATGATTTACAGTGTATTTCTCTTCATGTCTAAAGCCAATTTTGACAATAAAATTAGTTAAATTATTCTAGTTTTCTGGCATCTAGCATTCAGAACAAAAGTCTCATTTAATGCCTTTCATTTTTACTAGCCTGAAGGAGAAGAGTGAATCATAAAACAAAAGCAGCTCACCTATTTTAGTTGCACTGTAAATATTTTCTATTGGAAACACAATTCCTAATCCATACAGCAGGACTTTCGCCAATGCTGGGATAAGCTGAGTCGTCGTTACTAAAATATTCACACAGTTCGTCCTATGAGAACAGAGAGAAAGTAAAAAGACTTGGGAAACAAATCTCCAGAATGAATCAGCACAAGCATAGCTCCTTTCTTCAGCAAAGGCACCCCAAAGTGTCCTGGGGAGCGCTTACCGGGAGTGAATGAGCGTGAGCGCTTTGAGGGCCAGTGTCAGCCAGGAGTCCGTCAGGGCTTCGATCTCAGCCCTCAGCTGCAGCCAGGCCTCCCTCTTGGCCGGACCAAGCAGACCTGTGGATTGAAAAGCACATGAACCTACTTCCTTCGCAATGTGTCTATTCAACTTTATAAATAATAAACACTTAATCCTGCTACTACTATAACCCTCAAGCCTTACAGTATTCCAAATGATTTTTCACATATTAGCATTCATTTGACAAATATTTAGTAGTGTAGGAAGCATGTACTGAGTTTGCATTCCTAACATCTTTTCTTTTGGTTATAGAAGTCATCTCTTCTTTTTGGGGGGCCTAGTGGCACCCATTTCTCTAAACATGTAGTTTGGACAGAGCCACCCTACCCTCTGGCTCCCAGGATGGGAGGATGACCATGGTGGCTTGGCCAGTGAAGATCAGTCTTGGAACTCTTGCTGAATCCACTGGGAAAGATATTTCTCCACCCAAATGGAGGCACTAAACTGGCTGCTTAGAAACCTGGACACACCAGTGGTCGTCATTGCCACTTTTGGGGAGGGATGGACCTAGAATGACTTCTAAAGGAAAAACTGGGTGAGAGATCTCTGCTGGCATCATTTGAACACCTGGATTTAGCCATGCTGGAAGCAAACACCTTCCCTAAATTTTCATTAGTAAGCTAATATAGTCCCTTTTGTGCTAAAAACCACAAATGAAAACATTCAAACTCACACAAACATCTACTCAGTAGAAGGAGTTTTTTATAAGCCATCTCAAGTCATTGAGCAAGGGCTGTGAACCCCCACTTCACTGGAAGGACAAGAGAATGTCAGAGAGGTCAAGAAGTTTCCTCCAGGTCACACGCCTACTGGTAAGTTACGGAGCCAGAACTAGGGCAGACGTGCCTGGGCAGCTGGCACTCGTCTAATCTTCCTCTCACTAAATCACAGCTGGTCAGACAAAACTGGTCTAAAAATAGTTATTCTATTCCCCCCCCCCCAAAAACACCCACCCTGATACAAAACTGCGTGGTACTTTGAGAATTTTATCTAGACTGTCTGAACTAACCCAGTGAGGTACTGGTGACAGTCACTTGCCTCCGACGTTGTTTTTGTAGGTATTGTAGATCTCTTTTACTCGTCTGTAGCGGAAAGCCAACTTTCTCATCCAGTCTACACCGCCGCGCACACCGGTTGCCAAGCACAAATTAGCACTGGTGGCCGCAGCAGGAAAGCCATCTGTTCCAAAGTTATATGTGCTATTTAGATGCAAGAAAAGCCCAAAGTTAACCAAAGAAAGTTCATCTTAATTAGCTGAGCAATTACACCGTAAAATGGAGTTGGTCTCTTCACCTTCCTACGGGCTCACCTGAGGTCTTGACCATTATCATCTGAAGAGACATCATCTATATGAACTTGGTCACATTCCTAAAATGCAATCAAAATGCTACATGTCATTTTTCAAAAAGCATTTACATTTTTTTTTAAAAAACCACAGACAGCTACTTAAAAACCCCTGCAACTTTAATTGGACTGTTTTCCAACTATGTCAATCAGTAGGTGGCGGTCTTGTTAAATTGACATTTTTACCTACTTCAGGTCCTCTTTTAATATAAGAAACCCGCAATGTCATTAAAGACTACTGTTATTCAGCTTCAGAAAACAGATTTTTGTGTTTAGAAAGGAAAGTGATTGAAAACAATTAGCATGTGTGTTCCATAAACCTCAGGTACCTGAAGACATCATGCTGCTCCAAGCTGATTCAGTCAGTGCCCACACATAACTGAAACCAGACATTTCGGTGAATGTAACATGCTAGAAAAATTAAACCTGATGCTAACTGCCAATGAAATTATGACCTCTGATTGCTGTCGAGCCACACACCAACACAGCCTGGGGCCAGTGTGCTGAAGAGCCCAGACAAAAAAATCTGTTACTGGTTTGCCATTGATTTGAGAGATGTGAGTTTTATTCTTTCTCTTTCTGTGTGTGCACGCGCATGTATGTGTGGGAGGAAAAAAGCATGGGAGACTTCAAATAGAAACAATCAAACCATGCTGTGTTTTTTATTTATTTTTTTAATGGTTCACTATTATTACATATTCATTTTAAGCATTGGGTCTATGAGTTTAGTGTAGAATAATGTTATTTGAATAGACCTGACTTTTAAATCCCAAACCATGTGTATACGTTGTTTAGGAGTGGAGGCTGTCATTCTGGGCTAACACTGTACTGGCCCAAGTTCATATTCGTGCACCTGTTGGCATATGAGCACCCTCTGTATCTTCCCACTGGGCGCCAAACCCCTAGTGTGCATGACTGTGGAAAGAACCGATCTCATACAACTCAGCAAAGCAGAATCCAACAAACATTTGTTGAACAAATGAAAGCACGCTAATTTGGAGACGGACAAGGTTTCTAGCCCAGAGAAAAGTAACACATACTTGGCATGCTTTAATATTTCAGTCATGATTCTTCTCTCTGCAGCCGGGCTCCAAATACCCTACTTACTTCCCTTCAAAGTTTTAGTTTCAAAAATATTATGAAAAGAATTTTCCAGGTACACCATCCTACATTTTAAAAGGGTCTTCTGATTAAAGGTCTGGTCATATTTCCTGTATAGTTCATTTTATAAAATCCAGTGCTTAACATTCAACTGGCAAGAAAGATGACATACACACAGTGCCCCAGTAACAAAAGGTGTATTTTTATGTTGCCGGTTCCTTCTGAACAAATTCTTTGCTCTCCATGGATTTGTGAGGAAGGGAGCAGAAGATAGAAGTGGAAAGAAACTCAAACCAGCTGTTGCTTAACAGAATTAAAACCCTGACCCCAACCTCTTTTCTAAAGCATCTATTTTCCAGGCAACCCGCTCCCAGCAAGCAGCAAGTTCTAGGGAGGAAAAGACTTTGACCTTGTAACCCTCCCCTGCTCTCCCAAGATCTATAACCTCAGATAAGAAAAAAGGAAAAGCCAGTCCAGGAGGCCTTACATGTGGACGGCGAGTTTCACATTTGAGGAACAGGTCATTCCTGGAAAACATGTTTGGGAATTTCTCAGAGTTATTCATTTAATCGGGAAGGTGAATGCTAGTTACAGTTGTTGTTTTCGACAATGTACTTATTCTGGCTTTAAAGAGTTTCTAAATCACAAGTAGGGATTTCTGCCATTTAATCAGTCAAAAATACAATTTTTTATGTTGTGGGTAAATATCTCTTTTAAGGGTACCTGGTTAATGTACAAAAAAGTGTACCTCAAAAAGCCTCCCAAAGCAAACAAGCAAAACAAGCAAAAGCCATAGTGAGTTTTCTCTCTTGGGAGAGAGAACAGATCAGGAGGAAGTTGAGGGACTGAAAGAGGAAAAGATATGTTAAAAAGAATTCATTTTAAGGAATCAAAGTTGACCTAAAGTTCCTAGGTTGACTCTAGGCTTGGGGAGAATTCTTTGGAAATGTAGGGTGTTAAGAGGCTTTTCTTAAACTAAAGCTGTGTAAATCCCCATTACTAGCAGAGAAGTCAGTTATCTAATAATGACCATTAATGACTCCATTGTTGCTATTGTCCTCCCACATCCTGTGTTTGTTTTCTCCTGCAGGCTGCACGGGAGACCTTGTGTCCCCAGCCTGAGGCTCCACTAGATGTATTGTTCAGTATGTTGGTTTGTCCTAATTAAGTGTCAGTAGCTTTAAGCTTTTACCTGCAGATACCAAGCTCATTTGATTTGATTAAAGCAGAGTTTGGTGTGTTGGCAACAAGGAAATCTCCTTCTTTATCAGGAGAATTTTTGTAGAATGATTTTAATGACAAAAAGTGCAAAAATCAAGAGCATTTTTAAAGGGCCTAATTAGCACCTCAGGAATTAAAAAAAACATTAAAATATCTATGCCAAATTTGGTTTTGCAATTGTTGCTCATTTCACTTAACAATAGAAAAAATACCATATTGCACAAATTTTGAATGGATAAAGAGTTACATACTAAAGATTCATTACCTATAAGTTTATATGAGTTTGCAAATAATGGTATAGCTGTTTTGAGAAATAAGCTGTGTGTATGGTTTTTGGAAAATTTTAATGAGGAACTATAATATCTTACTATCTTGATGCTCACCTACTAAAAAGTTTAATTCTTCAAAAAAAAAAAAGAGGAGACTTTTAACAGACTGAAATGCTACTTACCCAGCAGAGCTGCGTAATGTGTGACCTGTGCTGGGTGTATTCTCTCTCAAGGTAGAAACCGCAGGCCCATGCCTTCTATCATCCCGAAAACCTGTCCCTCCATGGGATGGAACTCCCTGCCTCCCACTCTGCAGAAGGCATCTTGTGTATCACTTGTCTTCCTAAGAGCCTAAATTTAGGTTTTTGTTTTTGCTTTCTGGACTTGGTTGTTTTTAGTTACCAAATCTGTCTTAAATCCAAACATCAAATACCTGAGGAAGGGGAGCAGAAGGGGCTTGGCCCACTGAAACAACAACAGTCGTGCTCTAAGCTCCTTTGGAACAATCCGCAGACCCAAAGGACAAGAATGGAAGCTTCCCATATTTTCAGGTGCCAAAATATATCCCTAACACCCTGCTTTGGTGCTTAATAAACTGAGGGCAGAACATAACAGAACTCCCTGGGAAAAGAAGTTTCTATTCCCCAAAGACTGAATGTGTTGAAAACACACTTTTGAAATAAAGTTCCAAAAATTTCATGATAAGGTTTTTCAGGAGCTCAAGTCATCAATGAACCGGAGTCTTAGAACAGCATTCGAGTGTGTGGGGGCCACCGTGCCTGTATGGCCAGGTTAGCACATTTTATGCATTAACTGTCCTGTTGAGGTTTGAGATGCCCAAGGGACCCCTAACATGGTTGGGTGTCTGGCTTGGAGTGTCACTTGGGCCAGAGGTAGCAATTCCTTGGACTCCTGGTAGACCCTGCAGTCAATATTCATCCCAGCTGGCTAATAGGTGCTTTAGAGTTTAGAACGGTTTTCATTTATTCATGTATCTAATTATTTATTAAGAGGCTACTATATTCTAGGTGTTGTTGTAGATGCTAAGGACGTAGCATTTAATAGACAAAAATCCTACCAATTTAGGAATTAATATGGCAGACACTCCAAAGCAGTAAAACATGCAAAATGTGAAATATGTTAGATAGTGTTAAAATCGAAGGAGAAAAGAAAAAACAACAGGCAAGGGAAATATGCAATGCTGTGCAGGTGTCTGAAGAAAGAGCCTAGCCAGCCAAGAAAAGATCAAGTACAAAGGATCTGAGGCAGGGGGCCTCTGGTGCTGGAGGAGGGGCAGGAGGGGAAGGGTTAAGCAGGCTGGCAGGTAACAATAGGAGCTGGCTTTGGAAGTTTCATTAAGTTATGAGTCCCTGCTATCAGGGCACTTACAGTTTAGCAGAAAAGATATTTACTACACCATGATAAATTACAGTTGAGGTAAAAGCTGCAGAACCTCCCTGGGACCAAAGGAGCATCCTCCTGCTGAATGGCTGGATTTATTGGTCCAAGAGGGTGGCAGAGGTCTAAAAAAACTGAAATTATATTTTGTGAGGTCAGGGAGGAATAGCAAGGCCCCCCACTGATCCTTGTTGCTTTTGTGATGAAAGCAATCAAGTAAAGAGAGAAACACAGACTGCTATTACTGAAGCTGTGGTAACAGAAACAGTACAGCTCTGTGGTCCCAGACCGGCAAAGCCAGACTCTACATTTGACAGCCGTGGGATGGGGGTGAGGGAGTGGGTCTCATGGAGGAAGCTACCTCCTGGCTGGGAAATACCATATTTTCCATGTATAATGCATGCTTTTCCCCCAAATTTTTGAGGGAAAAGTAAGGGTGCACATTATATAAGGGCAGTACTAAAACCGTTGGGTGCACATTATACTTGGCAAAAATACACCTCAGGACAGAGAGATGTGGAGGAGCTCTGGAGTTCTTGACCCCCGAGAGCCAGCTGAGAGGGAAGGCTCTTGAAGACAGTCTCCTTTGCCCCCCACATTACGGATATGAAAGCTAGTCCGGAGGCTGGATAGGGATTGAGGATGGGGGAAATGTGTTCTGTTAAGGGCCTTCCAAAGGCATGTCAACAGGAGCAACATTTTTTGCTTATAGGCTCTGTATCGAGTCAGCAGTAGAGGAATATATACTTAATGTTGTTACTTAGCCATTTTCACACATAGCCACATAGCACAAACAGACCTTAGAAGGGCTGGGCAGGGTTGTGATGATCCTTTATAGGGAAAGTTTACAACTAATCACCGAATTCAGATAGTGCTAAAGTACTCCGCCCTCTGACCCCATCCTGAGGCCAGGCTCCCCCCTTTCCAAAGTCCTAAAGCACCAGGGACATGCCACCTGACACTTTGTATCCCTTGATAGTTCAGATAGTTCAGATAGTTCAGATAGTTCGTTTTGTGCACTTCTGTGGAGTTTCT